TTGCTCGTCACCCAAGTTGGAATGCAGTGGCATGATCTCAGCTCACTCCAACCCTCACCTCTTAGGTTCAAGTGATTCTCCTGCCTCAGTCTCCCAAGTAGCTGGGACTACAGGCTCACACCACCATGCCTGGCTAATTTTTGTAATTTTAGTAGAGACGGGATTTCACCATGTTGGCCAGGCTGGTCTCGAACTCCTGATCTCAGGTGATCCGCCTGCTTTGGCCTCCCAAAGTGCTGGGATTACAGGCGTGAGCCACTGCACCCAGCTGATAAACTGATTTTTATTAGTTTTCACAAAAACAAATATATGCCTATGATAGACAGCATGGACAGTGTCTGTCACCATGTGCTGGGGAGTGTTGAGAACCTGGAAGCACGTCTCTCCTGGAGGAGGCATTCTCTACACAACTCCAGCTCATTGTTGTCAAGCACCAATGTCAGGCCCACAGTTGCCAGATTTTAGTTTTTTAAGGTAAGTCATAAACCTGGGTTTTTACATTAAAATTCCAGATTTTAAAATGCTAGCAACCAATTCAACTTTAAAACATTATAGGGGCTAATTCTTACAAGCCAAATAAAAGATACTAGTGGTGCTATCATGGCTTACTGCAGCCTTAGCCTCCCAGGCTCAAGTGATCCTTCCACCTCAGCCTCCGAAGTAGCTGGACCCCAGGTGCATGCCACCATGCCCAGCTAATTTGTTATTTTTTTGTAGAGACAAGGTCTTCCTATGCTGCCCAGGCTGTTCTCAAACTCCTGGACTCAAGCAGTTCTCCTGCCTCAGCCTCCCAAAGCGCTGGGCTTCCAGGTGCTGGGATTACAGGCATGACGCACTGTGCCAACCCCTAGTGTTTTTAGTCATTAAGGGCAACCACCTACACAATGGCCCTTGATGGTTCTATTAGCAAGAGGTTCAGATGTTTGGTCTAGAGGATATTTGGGTCTTCCAAGCATATTCAATATGTTAAATTCTGAAACAATAAAAAAGTCCATGTAATTTTTTTTTTTTTTTGAGACGTAGTCTCGCTCTGTCGCCCAGGGTGGAGTGCAGTAGCATAATCTTGGCTCACTGCAACCTCTGCCTCCCGGGTTCAAGCAATTCCCTGCCTCAGCCTCCCCAGTAGGTGGAATTACAGGCGCCTGCCACCACACCCTGCCAATTTTTTGTATTTTTAGTAGAGACAGGATTTCACCTTCTTGGCTAGGCTGGTCTTGAACTCCTGACCTTGTGATCCACCCACCTCAGCTTCCCAAAGTGCTGGGCTTACAGGTATGAGCCACTGCACCCAGCCTATAATTTTTATTATTATTTTTTGAGCCAGGGTCTCACTCCAGCACCCAAGCTGGAGTGCAGTGTTGCGATCTCAGCTCACTGCAATGTCTGCTTCCCAGGTTCAAGCAGTTCTCCTGCCTCAGCCTCCTGAGTAGCTGGGATTACAAGCACCCACCACCATGCCTGGTTAATTTTTGTATAAAAAATCCATGTAATTAATTACTTACATGGTGTATTCTACAGGTTTTAATAATTATTGTACACTTTTTAAAAAATAATCATTTTTTTCTGATTACAAAATAAATGCTTATTGTGAAAACTTAGAAAACAGGATCTATCATTTCATGAAGAAGGGTTATATTTACCCTACTCATTATCCATCCCAACAGTTATTGAATGTTAAACAGTTATTGAACTAAACACAGGGGAATATATTTATAAAATTTTGAAGGGTAGACATGTAATATGCATATTTTTAAACTAATTAAAGCTAAATATAAAGATCAAAGCTAAGTGGGAAGAACACAGATCTTAGAGCAGTAGAATTAGTTTTTAGTCCCCTACCACTAAAAGTGGGTTTATCATAAAGTCTGTGAAGCTCAAACTTCGGAACCCCTTGCTTACACAGGCCCATCGCAAGGCCCTTAGAGGGGCCTTAGCAGTATATGCTTCTGTATAAGTTTTGAGAGTAAGATATTTAAGACCTCTGTCTTCGTTTCTAGCTTCCCTTCATCATCCTCCTCTGCTAAGGAGGTACAGAAATGGCTATAGGCTTTTTGGGGGATCTGGCTAAGGGGACAATGAATAGGGATACATTTAATTTGGGGTTAGTGGCATGCATTTAAGTGGTTTGCAGTCACTTCTGCATATTGTTAAATTGTTGCTCACCGTGGGTGTAGGAATGGCTTTTTGGAATACACCAACTACCCATTATGTCAATTCAGCCAGCGCCATGTCACAAGAGTGCAAGGCCAGAGGGCAAAGGAGCCCTATGTTGCCTGACACAGGAAGCACATGGGTAGTGGAAGAGAAACAAGGTTTGAAAGAAAAAGCTAGTTCATAGAAAATTCTTCTATTCATTTTCCTCTTCTGGGGACGTTGTCTACAGGCACACAGAATGGTCCAGTGTTTGACATACTGTTGCAGGCTTTCCTACAACACAGCTTCTAACAAAACTTCCTAGACTGTCCTGAACAATAGAATTGTTTACCTTTATACCAAGAAGGCTGGGAAGCACCAAAATCTACTGTGGTGTGTACCCAGGCAGACTTCAAGGGGTGCATGCTGTAAGACCCAACGTTCTTAAGAGATTATCCAAAACAAACAAACAAAAAAACATGTCAGCAGGGCCTATGGTGGTTCCATGTGTGCTAAATGTGTTCATGGCAAGATCAAGCCTATTTTCCTTATCCAGGAAAAAAAAATCATTGTGAGAGTGTTGAAGACACAAGCACAGGATCAGAAAGCTAAATAAAAAATGAAGCTTTTAGGTCCGGTGCAGTGGCTCATGCCTGTAACTGCCGCACTTTGAGAGGCCAAGACAGGCAGATTACCTGAGATTGAGAGCTTGAGACCAGCCTAGTAAACATGGTGAAACCCTGTCTCTACCAAAAATACAAAATTAGCTGGACGTGGTGGTGCATGCCTATAATCCCAGCTACTTGGGAGGCTGAGGAAGGAAAATCGCTTGAACCCAGGAGGCAGAGCTGCGGCGAGCCGAGATCGCATCATTGCATTCCAGCCTAGGCAACAAGAGTGAAACTCAAATTTAAAAAAAAAAGAAGAAAGAAAATTTTTGAATAATTAAAAGACTTAAAAAATTCTTTCAACCATCAGAAGTGAAAAATTATAAAGAGAGGGATCAGTTCTCTCAATGCCTAATCAAAATGAAGATCCTCACTCACTGAGAATCTAAGTCACATCTGCACTTCTTTCTGTTTTTATGTGAATCATGCAAAAGGGAATGTATCAGAATCCCTATGTTTATGGGACATAAACTTATAGTCATACTACAGTGAGTCTGTCTGTATGTGAAGTTGTATGTCTCATTCACTGTAATGGATCAGAGCCTGTCTGAATGTAGCATACAAATCTTGTCCTGAAAAAACTCTCTAGGGCTTCAGTAAAAACCACACATAAAATTGTCACTGAAGCAGCCAAATGGCCATAAAATCTCATAGCACATATACGAAACTTGAGAGAGGTTTCCCAAACTGAACAACAACCCTAAAAGAGCACATAACAGCTGGACACGGTGGCTCACGCCTGTAGTCCCAGCACTTTGGGAGGCCGAGGTGAGCGGATCACGGGGTCAAGAGATTGAGACCATCCTGGTCAACATGGTGAAACCCCATCTCTATCAAAAATACAAAAATTGGGCTGGGCGCGGTGGCTCACGCTTGTAATCCCAGCACTTTGGGAAGCCAAGGCAGGTGGATTCTACTAAATTTACAAAAATTAGCGGGGTGTGGTGGCTGGCGCTGTGATCCCAGCTACTTGAGAGACTGAGACAGGAGAGTTGCTTGAACTCAGGAGGCAGAGGTTGCAGTGAACCGAGATCAGGCCACTGCACTCAAGCCTGGGCAACACAGCAAGACTCTGTCTCCAAAAAANAGCCTGGGCAACACAGCAAGACTCTGTCTCCAAAAAAAAAAAAAAGTTACAAAACAATTGTTATATGAAAAGGCAGAGTATGCAGCCAAAAAAAGGTGGGAAAAATAATCATAAATGGTGCCCCCAAAGTCTGGAAACACAGGTGAATATACATAATGTCGGAAACAACTTCAATCTTTTAGAAAAAAATAGGTTTCTGGGCTCTCAGACGCCCTGTGGAAGGATATCAGGCAGTCAACGAAAATATTACGGTTATGTGTGTGATGCTTGTGGGTTTTATTAAGTTTTTTTTTTAAGACAGAGTCTCGCTGTCGCCCAGGCAGTGGCGCCAGCTCTGCTCACTGCAACTTCCACCTCCAGGGTTCTGCCTCAGCCTCCCGAGCAGCTGGGACTACAGGCGCGAGACACCACACGCAGACAGTTTTTGTATTTTTAGTAGAGACGGGGTTTCACCATGTTGGCCAGGATAGTCTTTATCTCTTGACCTCGTGACCTGCCCGCCTCGGCTTCCCAAAGTGCTGGGATTACAGGCCTGCGCCACCGCTTCCAGGCCGGTTTTAACTTTTAAAATGTAATTTGTTATTTTTCTTTCCAAATACACTTGCCTAACCTCCTGCACGTAACTTTTTGTACTCTTTTTCCTGAGGGTCCCCACAAATTGTATGAGCTTCTCTTCCTGCAAAACCAGGTTCCGCCCCGTCTGCAACCTCAAAGTCGCTGAATTTCTCTGCAGCCTCAGTTTCCTCTTTAAAAAAATTGGTAATTTGCCCTGCATTTCCTTAGTTTTTGTGAAGGCCAAAGAAGTTTGTGGGGGGCAAAAGAGCTCTGCCGTCCACGCAAGCCCCTGCAAATGTGAAGGGCTTCTGATCTGGGGTGTTGGCTGTTGGCCGACGTCATCACCCTCCCGGCTCCGACCCCCGGCGTGGGGCTCCACTGACAGCCGCAGTGCCGAACAGAGGAGTGGGGGTGGTTGGGCGGGGGACATTGGGGTGTACACCCGCCCACCTGCAGCAACTGGGATCCGAGAGGATGGGGTGATGGTGGGGAGGAGAGTTCGGGACCAGCGGAAGTTAAGGAGCGTGAAGGGGTAGTCGCGGAGCCAGGGTAACTGCTGGTTCCGGAGGAGGCGGGGCACCAGGCCTCAGCCACTCTCCCAGAGCCCTCCAGCCGCCTCAGCAGCGGAAGTTCCGGTGTCGGTAAGTGGAGGTCAGAGGTCAGCAGGAAGTCGATACGTGGCCGCCGCCTGTCCCCGCCGAGGAGGCGCAGCAGCCGGAGATGGCGGCGGTGCTGAACGCAGAGCGACTCGAGGTGTCCGTCGACGGCCTCACACTCAGCCCGGACCCGGAGGAGCGGCCCGGCGCTGAGGGCGCCCCACTGCTGCCGCCACCGCTGCCACCGCCCTCGCCACCCGGATCCGGTCGGGTCCCGGGCGCCTCCGGGGAGCAGCCTGAGCCCGGGGAGGCGGCGGCTAGGGGCGCGGCGGAGGAGGCGAGGCGGCTGGAGCAGCGCTGGGGCTTCGGCCTGGAGGAGCTGTACGGCTTGGCACTGCGCTTCTTCAAAGGTGAGCCAGATGGGCCCCACCCCCGCTGCTTCTGCCCGGCCCCGGGAGCCCTGCACGGGCTGTGGTCCTCAGGGTGACTGGACCAGCCTTGCCCTCACCCACTCATACTGGGCCTTGGTGACTCAAGCGGGGCTCCGTCCTCGTGGGTACCCGAAGTTCGTCACTACCTGCTTGGCCACTAGGTCAGACCCCTGACGGGCCTGCAACCTTGGTTTAGCAGTCACGTCCCGCCTCCCAGAGGTTACTGGGGCATTTTAGCTCAATTAGCTTCTGGGATTTCCTGGAGCCAGGGTGGAAGAATGAACCCACTTTGTCCCAAAGGATCCCATTCTGGGATTGCCCTTTATTATTATTATTATTATTATTTTTTACTGACGACTTTCTTTTCCCGTTTCCCATGGCTTGTCACATCAGGACCCGCCGATTTTTACCCTTAGTGTAAGAAATCTGTCAAGAGGTTCCATACATAGCCTTTCCAGCCGTTCTTGGGAACCATAAACTCCAATAGGACTTGATCCTCTGGCAGTATTGATGTGGCAGAGAGGAAGAAGTAGTGTTAAGCTCACCATCCTCTCCGGGTTGTCAGACTCTTGAAGAGGGATGTCCACTATGTTCTAGTAATTTCTAGGTGGTTAAAATTTTATCTTTTAAACAATGTGCAAGAGTGAATTCTCAGAGTAAGGCCTACTAGTACCTTCTGTGCTTTTCGCATAATTAATTGTTAAATATCCCTCGTCTTAGAGCAAGATTGTAGTGTGCGGTTTTTTGTTTGTTTTTAATTGGGTTGTTTGTTTTTAATCACTTAGTCAAATGGTGGAGAGACCAATCACATGATTTTTGTCAGTGTGAAAGACTGATTAAAAGCCCGTTAGTTTGATTCTTAAAGATATTTAGTCTTGTAGGGCGAATGGACAGGGAGGGACATCAGCAAATGAAGCTTTAAAAAGTGGTAGCTACGTTCCACGTACATTCCGGAACGGCATATTTATGACACTTTACCCAAAGGGAGTCAGTACCTTTTGGAGTACGTATTTTACTAGCTGAAGTTGAGTACTTCAGTGTAATGATACACGCTGAAGTTGTAAATAACTTTAGTTGTGCAAACTAGTGAAAGTTTCTTTTATACATTTTCCAGAACATTTGATCATTTCACATTCATTGACGTATTCATTGTCATTACACAATGAGTTCAGCCTTCTGTGTACTGACTAGCTTGGGGAATTGGTAATGGCGAATGGGTTTTGGATCATTTGACTTTTAGATCACTGGCTTGAATTTAGAGTTTGCTATAGTGATGATATATTACCACTTTATAAAAATCAGGTGGTTTCTGTACAACTCATATAGCTTCATTCCACCTTAAATTTTTATTCTTGGAACTTTTTAATAAAGTATATTGTAGCAGAGAGTAAGAATAGAAAATAACTAATTTCTGTTTTGTTTTTTTTTTTTTTTTTTTGAGCTGGAGTCTTGCTCTGTTGCCCATGCTGGAGTGCAGTGGTGTGATCTCTGCTCACTGCAACCTCTGCCTCCCAGCTTCAAGCAATTCTTGTGCCCCAGCCTCCCAAGTAGCTGGGACTACAGGTGTGTGCCACGATGCCCCGCTCATTTTTTTTGTATTTTTAGTACAGATGGGTTTTCACCAGTTGGCCAGGCTGGTCTCGAAGTCCTGACCTCAAGTGATTCGCCCGCCTCGGTCACCCAAAGTGCTGGGATTACAAGCGTGAGCCACTGCACGTGGCCATAATCCTAGCTTTTGTCATATGACAAAAAGTAAGAAAATGGGTAATTTCATCTTCTGAGCCTGATTTGAAAATAGTAGTAATAACTTTTTTGAAAGATGAGAACCACTAACAGGCTTGTGCCACCATGCCCGGGTTGTGCAATACACTTAGCATGGTTTGGAGAGTCAGAGGCTCTAGATTCTAGTTACCTTGTAAACTCCTAGACAATGAACTTTTCCAGACTCGGTTTCATATGTATAAAGGGAGCTGGATTAGATGAAATGTGATGTCTCAGATTTAATATTCAATGCTCTAAACCTAACAGCTTATTTTAACATGTGTCTTGAGTGGTAGAAATCCTAGGGAAACCTGTAACTTGGGGCCTAGGTGTTAGTCACCTTAGAGAATAAAGCTACATTGTTAGGTGTGGTTCACTCACTTCCTAAATTAAGTTCTCAAAGCAATATCCAGGTACTTAAAAGGAGAAATAGCTGTGTAGCAACTAAAAGCTACCTTTCTGCATGGATCGTTGGAGACTGTTAGTATGTGAGACACTAATTGAAAAAAGAAAGGGAAGGTTGTAAAAGCAGTCAGTAGAATTACTGAACATGGAGTGAGCCAAGTAATGCTGCCTTTGTTTTAATGTGTGAATTTTTCTGGTGGAACGCTTGGTGCTTTGTCAGGCTTGCAAGGACTTCTAATAGACCACCATTCTGTGGTTTTGTACCAGTATTTCACAAGAATTAGAAATAACATTACATCTTCCCTCCTGGATTCAAGCAATTCTCCTGCCTCAGCCTTCTGAGTAGCTAAGTTTACAGGCTTGTGCCACCATGCCCGGCTAATTTTTGTATTATTACTAGAGATGGGGTTTCATCACATTGGCCAGCCTGATAGCGAACTCCTGACCTCAGCATTCCCAAGTGCTGGGATTACAGGTGTGAACTATCACTCCTGGCCATGTAAATAGTAATAGTTAAGCCTTTTTGTCAGTAGATTAGACAATGAGGAACCACTGGAGGTTTTTAAAGGGAGGAGCAAAGTTGCCTGATTCTTTTTTTTTTTTTAAGACGGGCTGGTTTTGTCACCTACGCTAGAGGGCAGTGGCATCATCTTGGCTCACTGCAACCTATGCCTCCCAGGCTTAAGCCATCCTCCCACCTCAGCCTCCTGTGGCTGGGACCACAGGCCTGCACCACCACAACAAGCTAATTTTTGTGTTTTTTTGTAGAGATGGTCTCTTGCTTTGTTGCCCAAGCTGGTCTTGAGCTCCTGAACTCAAGCGATTCACCACCCTTGGCTTCTCAAAGTGCTGGGGTTACAGGCATGAGCCTCCACGCCCAGCCAAAGTTGCCCAGTTCTATTTTAGCAATGTTAAGCTAGGTTTTCTTAATCTCCTTGGGTTAAGGATCCACAGGAATCCAGTGGGTTCATTTTATTATGGCCTTTATACTTCTTGGATGGAGTTGACCTGCTGAATTATATTTTGGTTTTTAGAGTTCTTTAGGGTGGACTTTTCCTTCTCTAATACTTTATTGCCCTATTACATTAAGCTGGTAGATTGATTACATTAATTAAAAAATTCAGTCACGTCAATAGTTATTGAGTAGATGTTTACTGAATCTCAGGTACTATGCCAAAAGCTGTATATACATTATTTTGTTTAATCCTCTAAGAGCCCTTCTATAAGGGTATTGACCCCATTTCTGTGATGAGGATCCAGCCTCAGGCCCCTAAGTTATTTGGAAGGTAAGTCTTGGACTCATTTTCTTTATGGAATAGTTGATATATTACTGCTACCATTGCTATTTATTATACTCAATTATATTACTGATAGCAGAGTATTATATGTTGGGAGAGAATTATATTAATGATGGCAGTCAAATGGGCAACTGAAATGCTTCCATTTCCTGTTGTCTTCTTTAAACATAAGTAACTACAAGAGCTTTTATAAAAGGGCCGCATTAATGTTTTAAAATACTGGATAGCTGGGCGCGGTGGCTCACGCCTGTAATCCCAGCACTTTTGGAGGCCGAGGCGGGTGGATCATGAGGTCAACAGATCGAGACCATCCTGGTCAACATGGTGAAACCCCGTCTCTACTAAAACTACAAAAAATCAGCTGGGCATGGTGGTGCGTGCCTGTAATCCCAGCTACTCAGGAGGCTGAGGCAGGAGAATTGCCTGAATCCAGGAGGCAGAGGTTGCAGTGAGCCGAGATCGCGCCATTGCACTCCAGCCTGGGTAACAAGAGCGAAACTCCGTCTTAAAAAAAAATAAAATAAAATACTGGATAATGGTAGTTTATTCCTTGGAAACATACAATCAGTGTTTCTCCTGGACTTCAGTGGTCTATCCTCAGATAATTTTAAGTTTATATGTTACTATGGAACATCTATTAAATTTTGAGTTTATTTTTTTTTCTTTTATTATCTTTACCTTTAGACATAAGTAGGTAATACTGTAGGAGGGATATACAGACCTAAGAGACAGATGTAAATTATAGCTACCAAGTTCATGTTAAATTTGAACTGAACCAAAATTTTCCTTTGATTGAATTCAGGGGTGTGTATGTGTTTTTATGTAATGATATAACATTTTCCTGAGGCTTCCCTTTATCACATGTGCAGTGTATGAAAGTATACAAACTGTAGCTTGAAGAATTTAATATGAGAGCTACTGTGAATCACTATTTAGGAAGGTAAGCTCTGGAGTCAACACTTTCTAGGTGTGTTTTCCTGGCTCTGCTACTTAATTTTGTTAACTTTTTGTGCCTTCCTGTACTCAGAGTTGTTTTAGGAGTTATAAGAAATTATATGTATAAACTCTTAGCAGAATGCATGGCTATTGGTATTTTGTAGCTGCTTATGTTGTTATAAAGGAGGTACCTCTGATAATGGATAATGGATGTTTTGAGTTAATGGAGGGAAAGTCTTAAAACTTTTACTAAGCAGTTAGTACACGCTAGGCAATTCCCAGAGTGTTCTTACTCATTGATTCAGGAATACTGCATTGTATTATCCTTTTTTTTTTTTTTTTTTTTTTTTTTTTTTTTTTTTTTTTCTCTCTCTCTTTTTTTTCTTTTTTTTTTTTTTTTTTTTGAGATGGAATTTTGCTCTTGCCACCCAGGCTGGAGTGCAATGGTGCGATCTTGGCTCACCACAACCTCTGCCTCCCAGGTTCTAGCAATTCTCCTGCCTCAGCCTCCCCAATAGCTGGGATTATAGGTGTGCACCACCATGCCCTGCTAAATTTTTTTTGTTTTTTTTTTATAGA